ACCCCTGGGTATCCTTTGAAGGACTCTCTCCATGTCCTCACTACGTCCATGGATAACTACCTGCATTTGTACATGTGGGAAGAGGAAGGTCGTTATCCACACCTCAAGAGCTGCTGTCACCTGCAACAGAGAAGGGAAGATCAGACACCAAGCTGGTAAGCCCTGCTTTGGGACTTCAACTTTTCCTAAACATTTTAAATTTCTACATTAAACAAATGAATAAAGGGATAATAGGATTTTTTTTTTAAAAAAGATTATTTGAGGATATACATGAATAAACTTATGCCCCAAAAAGAGAATTGCTCGCGCTTGGAGCGTGTCCCCCGCCCTTGCGATAGATTTCAGAAGGCTTTCCAAACAGTGTCTGCTCCCACGAGCACGATGCGAGGATTCATCCTTAATGTCCTGTCTTTACTCGTAAGGCTCTTGTCTGGTTGTTTTAATTCATTAGTCCTCTATGCTGCTTCTTTCAGGAACTGCCTTTATCTTTGTTTTCCTTCCTTTAATCCTAGATCGCTTGCCTTCACCTACATTTTTTTCCTTGATATTTTACATACCATACATATAGAGGTCCGGTCTTTTATATACTTTACAGATATTTTCCTCCAGATTGTTATTTGTCCTTATAATGTTTGTTTTGGGCAATGTCTAACAAACTGCATATACGTAGATCCTTGGAACTGCCGGTGTGGCTAGAAGGGGTTTACTCTCACAGCACACCTCTGAGGGTTAAATGCACCGGTTGTCTGGTGCAGCATTAGCTGTGACTGCCAAATGCTGGAAACTGCTTACCTGCTCCAACGTAAGAGACCGTCTAAGTTACTATGATGCATCCACATAATTGTGCAGCTGTAATTTTTTAGAAGGAAAATTTTAAAAAGGAGGGAAATCTCTATGTTCAGATAAGAAGTGATTTCCAGTGTGTTGGAGGCAAAAATATTTTAATTACTGTATATAGTTAATATAGAATTATGCTTAACAAATTTTCTTTCATATTCCTTGCTCTCTATCATAGCTAATAAATCTCAGCCTACTCTAAATCATAAATATGTACTTCCTTTCAATAATTTTAAATACTTCCCCTTCGTATAAGGTGCCCCCTACTGCATGCCTTTGTCTTGAATCCATCTGAATTTTTTGTTTTTTTTTACAAAGCAGGAGTATGTAGAAATATGATTGACTTTGTATATTGACCCGGTAGACAGGTCAATATATATCCTGCAACCTTACTAAACTTACTTATTCAAAGGGCTTTTATTAATAGATCTGTAGATACTTTGTGATTTTTCATGTCGCCTGTCCACAGAGACGGTCTTCTCCTTCGTCCCCAGGCTGGGCGCCTTTTGCTCCCTGCTCTTGCCTTAGTGCGCAGAACGCAACCTTCAGCACGGCCCCGAGCGAAGCGCAGGCATCCTTGCCGTGTATAGAAAGTGCTGAGTCTTTCGCCCTTTCGACACTCACTCTGTGTTTTCATATATGCCCTTTATTAGGCTGAGGAAGTTCCCTTCCAGCCCTAGTTTGCTGAGGGTTTGATCATGAATTGATGTTTAATTTTGTCAAATGCTTTTTCGGGATCAATTAATGTGAGCATATGGCTTTTCTACTCTAGATTACTAGTAAGGCAGAGCATGTTAATTTCTGAAGACTAAACCAGCCTCCCATTCCTGGAGTAAACCCCACCCGGTTGTGCTGTATTTTTAAAAAATATGTATTACTGGACTCAATTTGCTAATATTTTGTTAATGATCTTTGCTTCTGAGTTCATGAGGGATATTGATCTACAGTCTTTTGCACTATCTTGGCCTCATTTTGGTATAAGGATAATGCTGGCCCCATAAAATAAGTGGAGGAGAGGGGTAGGGCACCACCTCATCAATACAGGGTGAGGGGCTGCCCTGGGAGGCCCTGCTCTACCATTCCCACGTTAGCCTGCGTGGAGGGAGACGTGGCTCCTTTTGTGGTGTTCACCTAGAGCAGAACAGGCATCGTCAAAGGGGACAGGGGAAAATATAAAACTTCTCTCACATCATTGCTAAATAAGATAAGCTAGCAGATCAGGGAGGTGGATCATTCTGGCAGGGATATCTCAGAGCAGGTTGGGGATGCTACTCCTACAAATGATAATCAGCATAATTTTGCCAGGTCTACAGTTGCTCAAACCAAATCTAAAAGTAACTTCCATGACCGAAGGACCAGGTGATCTGGGAAGAATATTTACATTTTAGTATCATCAACAATAGGTCTAACTACTTTCCCTTTTGTCCACCGATGATGTTGTTTTTTTCTTTTGGCAGCTATTTCTCCAAAGCAATATGTGATAACAAGAGCATAGTATGTGTGGTGTCGAGAAATCGTGAATCCAGTGTTCTGGTGATGTATTCTTTGAATATGTGATATGGAAACTAATGCAATTAACCCTGCATCAACCTCCTTGATGTAGTAAAGAGAATTCTATTTGCAAACCCAGAATGATTATTTTAGTGACATGAGGAGAAAAGCAGTAATTTAACTATCTATAACGAATCAGACACTGGGACCGATACTACAGATCACACGCTATTAAGACAGAGGGTGGAGGGACATACCCTTTGTCCCTGCAGTCGGGGAGAGTGTAAAACGCTAAGGGAGTGAAGTACGAAATGGTCACACACATATACAGTTCCAAACAATTCAAGGGAAGCAACTTATGGGGGAAAGTGTGAATTTAGATTGAGGTTGGTTTAAAAGTGAAGGCATCTGTCTCAGAGAGTCCATGTTCTTGCCTGTGAGCAGCCAAAAATCAATTCTGTAAAATTTAAGCAAAAAGAAAGGTATTGGGAAAATATAGAGATTAATATCTAAAGGTAGCTGGAAGCGACTCAGAATAGAGATGGGAATAAAAATGCTCAGGACTAAGAAATAGAAAATAGCATCAAAGGCTAAGTGGCATGAAAGTCTTGATTTGCATGTCACCACAGCCGTTGTAATGGGTGTGATAGGGGACTGGCCCCTGTCCTGGCATCTCTAGCTCAGGATTCAGAGTTCTGGGAGAGAGTACTAATAAACCCAGCCTACGACGGGGGAGGGGGCGTGGGGGTCTACTCGGCTGGCTTT